TACGAGTATGTACATAGCTATACACTTTAGATAAAGATTTTAAACCTCCCCCAAAATAACTAACATTTATTTTTACTCGATATGTTCAGAAATGTTATTATGATTTATTGATGTCAAGATTGCATAAAATGTAAGATTTATGAAGCATACTTTACACATAATATTCTCTGTATGTATATAACATTGTATATGTTTTTACTACCTACATAAATATTAAAAATTTCTTTATAATAATAATTAATGCCTTCAAGTCACTGAATATGACACAAGAATATTTCAAGTATGGTTTCTTTTCAAAGTTGAATCAAATTTACTTACATGCACAATTTATTCTTAAATTAATAATTATTTTAATTCAAAGATAACCTATTTTATAATAATAATAAAAAAAAAACTAATTACATATTAATAGAATTTTATTTTTTTTAACAACCTGTACAAGATGATTTTGTACAGGTATTTTGAATTAAAATAAAATAAAGGGTAATGTAAGTGCGACCTTGTATTCATTTTTGCATAATTACAATTTTTATTAAGTTTTATAGATTATCAACTGCAAAATTTTAGTTTAGAATAGTTATCCTGAAGCACATTTGTTATTGGTGCAATTTTATTTAATTAAACTCTGGACGAATTAACGGTTTGTAAAGTTGCACATTTCCTTAAAACGATTTAAGTAGCTAAAAGCCTGCTTTTCATTTAACTCATTCAAAGTCATAGACATTTTAAATACACATAAGAATGCAAATTATGTAAAACATAAAAAAATGTTTTCCCGCAATGTCATGACGAGTAAATTGGCCTCGATTTCATGCGAATTTGTTCAGTGCGAAAATAAGTGTGCTGCTGAGTAGATCGACAAAAACAGTTGTTTCAAATAGTAAATAAAATACAGAGATTTCTTATAAAGACATGGAGGAAGAGGACATAAGAACATGCATTCATATAATGGTCATATTTGGCAGCTAGTTAAGATTTTGCTAAAATGGTGATTTCGACACAATTTGTGGCTATAAACTTCTAGAGGGTTATTGCCTATTTAATAACAATTTTAATTTTGCGCTGCTATTAATCTCATTTGCGAGTGCAGAAACTCTGTGATTAGACACTAGACGAACAGATCAATAAGGCGAAAGAAATAAGCCCATTTTTTTCAATTTGGTTAGAAAAGTGAAAAAAAAATTTTAACACTTATATTTTTTTATTACATTTTTAAGAAGACTATTAAAAAATATTTCACTAAATTTTGAAAAAAAAAAATCAATTTCTATAATTTTAAAAAAAAAATTTTTGAATTTAATTTTATGTCAAGTTGGTGACATGGCGCCATGACATTTTTATAGGCTAATAAAATAAGTAATAAATGTGTTCCATATTTTTATTTATATTTTATGTACCTTTTCAATGAATCTGGTGTGCATTGACCATATTTTTGCAAAATTTTATGTCATTTTCTTTAAGAATTGGAACTTTTCCAATATTGCTTGTTTTATTTTGCTATATGAAAAGAGCAAATGTTCTTATATTTTTTTTTTTACAATATTTTTAAGATTTAATTTTTCTTCCTTATTTTTACTTAAAAGTATGAAAATTAATGTTAACTTGTGTGAAATGAATATATGCTTAATAAGAATTTTTACCTCATGTTCTTGTTCATATTATATTTTCAAAAGTACTTACTACAAATACAAGAACATATGAATTTACGTACATAAAAGAAGAGGAACACAAGACTTACGTTACATAGTATCTTCTCCCTAAATATTAAAGGTCGAAGACCAGAGTATGTTTTTTTTTGTTTGTTACACTAATTGAATTTGTTCTAAAGGAGTAAAAAATTACTTAAGCGATAAAAGCCATACACACCCAAACATGTAATTTACATTTTATCTACATGTGAAAAACTTCTTCTTATGTATATACATACATATGTAGGTACTTTTCTCTGTTAAGAAATATATTTTAAATATTACAAGGTTGAAGATATATATTAGTAAATTACATAATATACGAGTATGTAATTATAATAGTTATTTGGTTTGTACATAGGGTTTTACAGGGTTCTTCATATTTGAAAGAAAAATTTTTAAGAAATTTCTCTAAATATAGGCGCTATTTCTTATAAATAATTAATAAAAATTAGCGACTATATGTATATAATATGTATATGATACCCGCACTTAAAGTTATAATATATAGAATCGAACCTGTAAAGGATAACCTTGGAAAACAAATAAAAACCCTAGCTAATCAATTTTACTTTTAATAAGTGCAACTAATTTGGTAAGTTTCTCTTAAATTCTGTAGGTATGTTTTTTTTTAAACTGACATTTTTATTTTGAATCACCTTGTATAATTAAACCTAGATATATACATGCAATAAATGTATTACATATGTACGCATAAATACACACGTGAGCACACAATAATAATTAAACATCTTTTACGATGCTATTTACTTCATAATTTCTAAATGCACTTCCATCTAAACATAATACAAAATTCGTATATGCTTCAATTATTTTAAAATTAACATCAGTAAGTGCTGGTCAGCAACAACATGGAGCATTGCTTTGCTGATTTGTTTAATAAGTGAGAAATTAAAGAAAAACAAATTTACTCTTTTTAATTCCTTGCTTTTTTTTGTTGTTTAATTTTCTTTTATTATTCTTTTTCGAAAGGGGATCTGCTGAATGCATTTAGATTTACTTAACCTACTATATTGTTGAATATTTGTTTTATACATAAAAATTAAAATTAAATGCCATCTGTATATGATTAAAATCACTATATAAAAATTTATTACTTATAATTTTTAAAACAAAGTACAAAGAGAAATGTTTTGGAAAAAAATTATATGATTTTCGGTCTTCATCAAAAGAAAGTTAAGAAACTAAAAAAAAAAGAAATAATGAAAAGAAGGGCTCAATTTTTGGATTGATGATAAATATATGTTTCAAGACCTCTTCTGGAACTGAAATTTCCAAAATTTTAATTGTTAAATTACGCAAATTGAATGTACTCGGTTAGTACTTATTATTATTTAAGGAGCAATTGCTGGTAAATGTTCTAAATTGTTTTATTGTATAGAAAAGCATAATGTAATTATAGGTCTATAAAATGCAATAACGTTTTGCACTCACGAAAATTGTTCTTCTTAAAATCTTAGTATGAAAAAATTAATAGTAAAGTAAATCAGAATTTTTTAAAAAATGAGTACTTATTCAATTACATATTATGAGTAGTTAAATTGAAAATTAAGTTCTTTATTGCAATAACAATTTAAGAAAAAAGATTTTTTTAAATATTTTCTTTAAGAATTTTATAATTCTATATTTCTGTACTTTTGTATAACATTTAAATAAAACGTGCATGGTATTACACAAAATTATAGGGGGACATTAAAAACAACAAGCATAATCTTAACAAATAACAAATGAAATAAAGCAAAACTTTACTAATCATAAAAATATTCGAATAGCAGTAGCAATAGCAATAGCAATAGTACACGTGTATTATATAATTATTAAATTTGTATTACCGTTTGACAGCTAACCAAAACTGGGTTTGAATATTCGTCTTCAAAGCAAATATTTTAAATACAATTATAAATAAAATTATTTTGTACGCATGATAAAGAAATCAAAACTTAAATACAAAACGCAATCATCCCGCGAAATATGTCGGCCCTGGGTCTTACGTTGTTTAGAAATGCATCGGTAAGATTTTTGTTCCTTGTCCTTAATATACGTTGTTTCAGATTTAATTTACGTCGTTGAGGAATTGTTTTTTATAAATTTTGGTACAAATTTTATATTTTCGTATGGTACAATAATTCGGTATACGTTGTTTTGATATACGTCTTTGTTTGGGAGGAACCAAAAACGACGTATATTGAGGGATTACTGCATATAAAAGAGTTCAATGAGTATTTAATTCCTTAATTTTTCCTTACATACTTGAATTTTTTATTAAAATTTTTATTTTTATTTCAAAATACTAGAGGTTTTTACTGCCTTCGATAAAAGTAAGATGGCAACATTAGCATTTCTTTTTACAAGAATTCTACACAAATAAACTTAGTAAAAGTAAATTTTTTTTCAATTTTCCTCATAATATATGTTTACATAACAAGTAGAGCAAGCTAGTCCGACATTTTGTATAACTTGCAATTTTATTCTCTTATATTATAATTTACCCTATAATACCCTCCGAAAACAAAGCATATATTCAAATTGTGTTTTCGATTTTTTTCATAACTAACATATGCTGAACTCTTTTCCTCCTTTACGATTTTTATATGTGTACGTGCATATAAAAATACAAGCCAAAGAAAACTAGCCAACTCTTTAGAATATTATGTTGTCTTAAAGGGGTCAAAAATTCCCATCAAAATACTTTCACACATACATATATATATATAAATACATACATGCTTATAAATTGCAGATTTTTCACACAATTCCCACTATTTATTCATATGTAAATAAAAGCGTTATATGCAAAAAAAAATGAATTGAAATTTCTGAGTAATTCAATTTGCACAAAAGATTTGCAAAGCCATTGAATAAAACAAAATATTAGAAATTTAATTAAAAATCATATTTCAAACACTTAAACCATTTACTAAATGCGGGTATAGGCAAGGGTAAATGTACCCCACCCCTAACCATACATTTCTTTGCAATAAATAATATTGTTAATACTTTTTCTGATCATTCCCAGAATTTTTCAACCAAAAACAAAAAGGTTGAGTTTGAAAAGTGTTTTATAGCTCTTTGGAAAAAATCTTTCAAAACAGCAGAAAAAGTCCTATATAGCCACATATGCATATGTAGATGCGAGTGTACACATTTATTATTTTTGTACATTCGGTACGTATATACATATACGAGTGTATATATTCGTAAATATTTCATGAATGAAGAAAAAAGATAACCTGCTTAATATAAAAGAAAAAATTCAATTGAAAATAAAAAATAAAAAACAAAATCACTTACCGTTGTGTAAACTTCAAGTTCCTTGTACGGATTAACAGCAACTAATATTGAACCTGTATATGTCTGTTAAATTTTATGATGGTCAAGGAAAATTTTTATTTATTTATTTATTTATTTATTTTAAAAACATTTTCCATTAAATTTAATTTTTATGTATTTATTTTCTTGTGTATTATTTATTTACATAAATATAAAGGATACTTTAATTTGAAAAAAAATCAATCACATATTTAAAGTATTTAAAGAATTAATTGGTATGAAAGCAATTGAAAAAGCAAAGAAGACATTCAGGATTAAATTTATTTATAAACAAACTGATATTCACGCAAATATACAACATTAGGAGGAAGACAATTAATAGGTTTTTTCATAAACTCAGTATATCGCGATATATAGCGGGAATTGCGCTATATTTGTTATACAGTGTACGAGTATTCACAAAATTTTGAAATTCAACAAAAATTACAAATAAAATATGAATATAATTTTTTAAATAAAATTTAAAAGGTTTCTAAGAAAAATTTCTCGTCATTATATTAATTACTCAAATATCTTGGAGGAATAATAGGAGATAAAAGAAAATAATGAAGAAAAGTATCCAAGCAAATAAATGTAAAATATTGCCGAGATGAGACCATTCAAATTGCATAGTGTTAAATTAATCCAATTTTATGTATAGTGTTAAGTTTTTTCAAGTCCTAATTCTACAAGATCTAGCCTTACAAACTCTACAATTTTGTCAAAATATATGGCTTGACAGATACTATATTCATTAAATATGTTTCTTGTTTCAATTAACACATAAAATAATAAAAATTAATATAAATACAGATTTATATAATGAAGTCGGCTTACTTTGGAAAAATCCTTAAAATTAAAATGACAATTTAAATGATATGAGAGCAAAAAATTGCTGAAAAAATTGAAATGTCAAATTGTATGAGAGCAAATGCGAAAAAATGCACAATTTTTTTTAATTAATAAATAAAATTCACTTATAATAGACGAGTTTACAAAACTAGATTGTTGTTAAACTAAAATGAATTCTGATAAAATTGAAATACGTAATTGATATAAATTAGAAAATACGGCCCCAAAAGATATGCAATATTTCAATTTTTGACAACTTAATGAACATTGAACGCTACACGATAAAGAAATCAAAAATGTTGCAAACTCTTTCATTTCATTTTTTATTATAAAAGCTGAAAGATTACTGGAATAATTGAAGTATTTCATTTGAGAACGTCCATTTACGAGTTTTGACAAAAATAATTAAAGAAACACCCTATATCGGCTCGTATCCCAAAACTGTTGAACACAATCATAAGTAAATAAATTTAATATTTTATAAAATTTTGACGCTAATTTCGCTCTCACAGAAATTTATTGCTATGCATAACAATATTTTTGCATATTTTCAAATTTAAAATTATTGCTTTAAATCACATTTGAATACCAATTATATAATCGCATAATTGTTTACATTACAAACTTGAATACATTCTATTTTTGGATAAACACTTAATTTCGCGAATTATGTTTTTAATCTTTTTAATTTTACATATGTATGTATGTATGTAACACGAAATTCTTATGATACACGCCTTAAATATATAGGCAAAGTATAAAAAAAAACAAAAACAAAATGACAGACCGGAAAGCTTTTAATCTTAATGAAAATAATCACAATCTTATAAGGATTAAAGAACAGCTAATGCTCACATAATTTAAAAATTTTTTTTCCACGACCGAAATTTCAAATTTATTTATTGTTGCTTCCTTTTCTGTTTCTTTTGATTCTATATTCAGACCATACTGTTTTCGGATCCTTCATTAATAAGTTATGAGTAGAATTTTAGGTTTTAACAAAAAGAATAATTTGCAAACCGAGTATACAAAGAATATAAGCGCGAAAAGGATCCTCAAAATATTTTTAAAATAATCTTTTAAAGGAATAAAAGATTTTACATTTTTATTTTATTTTTAATACACGTATACAATGTATAACCTTTTGTTTCGAAAATAATGAACAAAAAAGAAAATTTAAAGGTTTATTTTTTTTATATAATGCGAATTTAGAATAAGGAGTCTTGCAGGTGTAAAGTTTCTTAAAAGTTATAAAAAGAAAATAAAAATACTGAGAACAGGTAAACAGGTGATAATCAAAGTCTGGTTGGTTATTTTTCTTATTCAGATGTTCCACTTTTTTTAGCTTTAAAATTTCAGTTCTTTTGAGACTATTTTTGTACACAATTTATAAATCAAAAAAAAACTTAATTTATTCTGAAATCTTTTGCAAATTTTCTTTTTTTTTTATTAAACAAATCTCCTTAAATGGATTTGTTACTTTGATCTAATTGGCAATCTGAAATTTTTTGATATTTTTATTTTATATTTGATGAATTCGCCGTAAAAATGAGCACATTTGTATGTGTGCATATTCTGTTTTAAATTCAATCTAGAATTCTGAATTTTAATAGAATTTAAAAGAAAAATGCTTACACTGAATTGAAAATTAAGAATTGCAGCTTTTATAAATAAAATGAATTGGAATTGAGTGGGACTAAAATTAATATTAATTTACATAGGTGTGATTTGAAAAAATAATTGAAAATATTTTTAATACAAGAGTTAATTTTACGGGAAATTGCTAGCAAATATGAACACACTTGATATTGCTATGATTTGAAGTAATATGGTATTGATGCGAAACTCAGTTTATATGTTTTAATTGCTGAATTCTATTTCAATACCATACCATCGGAGTATTCGAATCAGCACTCTTTATAGATAATTATATCAGACAAATTGCTTTGAGCAAGCATTAATTATCTAGCAAATTAATATGGAACGAGCCAAAACAATCATCATTTAGGTCCACAAAATGCAGCTATCAGATTGCTTAGCAAAATCGTCACCATTTAATGAGGACGGAACAGAAAACGGTGGAGAGTTATTAAGAGAAGATTAGATTTTATTAGTATGAGAGACACAAAAAGCTTTTGCATTAAGATTTACGAAAGAACAAAAAAAGCAAAAACAAAAAGAGTTAAACTAAAATAGTATTGACATCTAACCCATAATTAAACGTAATTTAAATGTATAAAAAGTATAGACCTCAAAGTATCCTTACCAACACCAAGATCAAAAAAACTAGAGTTAGAATGGGCGACAAGCAAGATACTAGTCTATTGGGTCATTTCTATAATCGGTACTGTTGTGGCAATCATCGAAAAGTTCCCCACTGCTACAAAGAAAACCTGAATGGAATCGGCCGTAGAAATATCAGTAGTAAGGCGCTCAAACGCCTTATTTCTACGGCCTGACACGCGGACTCCGAAATAGGCGTAACATATAACACATTTAATAAAGATGCTTGCCTACGCACTAATTCTACTTATTACTAATTGCCTATAATGACTTTGAATAGTATTTGATATAGTTCGTTCAATGTTCTTTATTTAGTTAAGTTTCAAATTTTGAAATTGAATTATTATTTTTACATTCTATATCTACATCTCTCCCTATATTTACCGAAAGAATCCACCCAAAATTGCCATCAGTAAAAGAATCAGTATCCAAAGTAACCTGTGTAAATCCAAAAAATTCATTGATTGTTTTGCTAATATTTTCATATATGTAATTTTCTCTTTTAAGATCCACTTTTCAATACAAAATTGAAAACAAAACAAAAAAGGTCCTTTAATCTAATTTTAGAAAATCGAAAATTCATTAGAAAATCATAATCATATAAAACGGTAACTACCTTTGAAATCTAAATATACACTAACGCCTAGCTTCCTCCTCATTCTCACAGAACACTATTACACAAAATTGTGACAAACGAATTTCATGACATGAAAGCCAAAAAAAAAAAAACTAATCGTCCCTTGATGAAAATTTTATCTTCTAAAGCGGCCAAAATTCAAAATTTTCTAAAAAAAAATTTAATGTGATCTGGGAAACGAGTAAATAAAATTTCAAAAAAAATAGAAAAATCACAAAAATAATCAAAGATATTTTAAGTAGGTTCACCATTTAAGAAAAAACTACTATATGCCACCTAATATGCTACCATTCTGCATTATGCTAAGCAATAAAAAATTTTAAAATTTTTATTTTCACAATTTTTCTTTTTAAACTGAAAAAGATTCTCATTTGTCTATTTTTAGAATTAAAATTGATTTGCTGTTGCTTTTTCTAATTTTCTTTTTTTATTTTATTTTGTTTTACACTAAAGGAGCTTAAAATAAAAATTACTTCCAAATGAGTACAAATTGTATAAAATATTTTCTTATTAAAGTTCAATAAAACCATAGGATATCGAAAAATCACAAAAAAAAATTTAATAATAGCGGTATTTAAATTCGTTTTTCTTACAACCAAATAATGTGGTTAATTTAAATAAAGAAGTGAAAGTAAGGTCTTCGGGGCACAATTCGTTTCTTTTTAATTTTACAAACGAATTGCAATGATTGTAAATTTGCAGCACACATTTTTATAAGCAACTAAACTATGGCGTCAACTCGAATCGAATGTTGCAATTCAAATGTCAGCTGCAATAAATTACAAACAGTTGAATTACAATTGATTAGACAAAAATCATAACGAGAGTTGCTTGTCTTCTATCTTTTATAAACTAATAGACTACAAATAGGAATCAAATAATAATTGTAAAACTATAAGAATTGCCATGTCTGTCCAAAGTCTAATGCAAATGATTGCGAAGAAATCTCAGAACATTTATTATCAATTTTGATTACAATGATTCGAAAATGAAATTACTGCTCAACAATTCACTTATCAATTTAGTAATAGGCACAGATGTCATCAACAGAAAAGTATTCGGTCAGTAATAATAACAGGTAATCATAAAATTTAAATAGTTCGAAAGTTGTTAGTGCTGCTTTTTAACAGGACAAATACATATCATCAAAATTACTCTCACATTAAATGGCAAATTAAGTTGCTTAAATAAAAATAGGTTCTTTCTGTACATTACAAACATTATGAAAATATAAAAGTAATATAGCACCACTAAATAATACAAACGTAAAAACTAAATAGTATTGCATACCATCATTTTAGAAAAACGTCTCTGGGAATTATTAAAACTTTTAGCACTCAAATCCAATAAAATTTCATTAAGAAAAATTTGATTGCCAGCTAAATCTAATATACTATAATGCTTCCAATATACATATGTAATAGTTTTTCAATATGTATAGAATTGCACATACATACGTAACACACACAGAGGTGAATTAGTGATCATAATATTATATATTCTGAGCGTGATTCTTAATCAATATTATAATTAAAATATGCGATTAAAAATAAAATACTTCGCTTTAAGTTTTCTAAGAAAATATTTCAATAACAAATTTTCTGTGGCATCAGTTTCTGAGATAATCTCAAAAACATCGATTTGAGGTTACCCCCTTTAAGATTTCCTAATTTTGTCGATCCTAATTTCATAGGTTTATTTTGAGTAATGTACTTAGTTTATAATAGAATTTTGTCTCAAATTACAAAAAGCATTTGGTTTCAAACCCTAATGTGTTGAATCAATTCGCAATTTTTTGAATTTCCCAAGGCGTAATTTCATCCTAATCCAGCACTGTATAACCAAATATTTTTCAAGTATAAGCCAAATTCAAAAACCAAAATTTTTCGTTTTTCTTTTCAATTTAATACAAAAACAAAAATTACTTATAAACTTTTTTATTTTTCATTTTTATTCACTTAGTGTTAAAGTTTACAGCTGTTGTAACAGAAAACGACTTCATATACTTAATATACATTCATATATAATGGGGCGCGTTTTTTCTAATTTTATTAAGAACTCGTAAATTTCTTTTGTTTACTAAAAAGTAATAAAAATGCAATGAATGAGTCCCCGCTGATTTATATCATTTGGTTTTAGCCATTAATATATTGATTACTTATTCATTCCGGTGTGATTGTGACTTTATAAAAAAAAAATATTTACCATTTTGTACAATAAAAGACAGACATTTTCATTATAATTATTCACACATATCTACATACATACTTAATAAAATATATCCAAAAATGAAAAGTATAGAAATATCACCATAAGCTGTTATTAAACAAGCTTATTTATATTTTAAAATATTTAGAAACGAAATTAGGTGTTATAGACTTGAAATATTTAGAATATTTTACACAATTAACGGTAATGTGAACAGCGTAACCTAAGAATAACTAAGAACCCTACTTAAATATTAGTCTAACGTCAACTTAAATAATTCAGAAACACAAATTCAATTGACAGTTAAATTGACGTAGAGCTTGGATATTTGTCTATTTATTTGACTTTTGAGTGATTTATTAATATTGAATACTATTTCTTCGCTGGTTTATAAGTTGAGCTCTGACGTCCTTATATCAGACTATCCATTTAATAACGGTGTAAGTTCTATTATCAGAACTTGCACGCTTATTTCGAATGTGGTTTAAGATTAACACGTAGACATTATGTGTATTCCAGTTACAAAGGCTAGTAATAAAGTGAATTTACGTAGTTGAAAAATTAATAACTTCAATTTGACCATATCTGACCAAAGATACAGTACTAGAAATTCACATTTACAAAAATGTTGATAAAATTATAAGAATTTTTATTTTAGTGGTCGTAACTGTAATTTGGAAATATATTTGGAAATTTTGAATTTTTACCTGTGTATTTTTGCTTGTGTATTCAGAAATTGAACTCATTATAATTTCATTAGAGTGAAAAAAAAAATAAGCGCTGCAGAGCCCATCATTGAATAGTTCCTAATGACCTTAACGACCTGGTTACCATTTTATTTTTATGACAAATAGAAAAATATACATATATATTTTTTTGAGGTGTCTGTTAAAAAGTTGTGCAAGTTTTGATTTATATGAGTTTGTATAGCACAAATTCAGCGTGCCATTTACTATTGAGGTTTTATTTTTATTTTTTTGTTATCTATTCATGTCCTTTGTCAGCTTCTATTGCCAAATTTTTGTTTTTTTTTCTCCTTTAAAATAACAATGAAAAAAAATAATATTATATAGCCCAAGATCCTAATGTCAGCTAGCGTAACCATAAAACATTATCCATGTAAAAATTTTTTTCCTTTTTCTGTTTTTCACTTTTGTTGCGGATTATTTTTTTGGACGAATGCCACACTGTCTTTGGTAAAAAATAAAAATTATTTACAATTTAAACAACAAACAAAATAAAGGAGAAATGAAATTTTTTGGAAATAAAAAGTGGTGGCGTTTTTTATCCCCCTATTTAAGCATTTTTATTTATAAAAGAATTTTTAACCAAAAATTCTTTATAGAAAAACAAAATACCAAAAAGAATGAAAAATATTCCACTATAAAGTATTGATTTAAAGTAAAAAAAAAAATTGGAGAAATTTGGGTGGAAGAGGAACATTTAACTTTCTCTCCATAAAAAGGTAATGCTTTAGAATTTTAAATAGAAAATAGAAAAAATACATTAAAACTTTTATTATAGGTTGGTATTAAGGGCTAACTGAAATAATTAATAATCATAAAAAATTTAAATTTATTTAAAAACGCTAATACGGTATATGAGGCTCTATAGGCGCTTTTAATTTCTGGAAAATTAATTTGATATAAAAATGAAAGGGGTTTTATATTCTGTCTACAAGGAATTAAAATTATTTTAATTTTCTTTATTAAAATAACAAGAACACATGACATCCATTACAGAATAGCTAGGCATTAGTTATAGTGTGGCATTAATGGAGTTGTTTATTATGTAATTTAAATTAATTTTTTAAAATTTTTTTATTAATTTTTTTATTTTAATGTGATGAAATGTCAAGATTTATGTCATGATTATGAAATGTCGCTTATTTTTCTAACACTAATTTTAATGTATTTCCAGTGAATTTGATTGTAAAATTTTAATATTTTTAAAATAAATTTTTAAAATTTCGTATGAATTTAAATTATTTTTTTTTAATTAATTTAATGATTTCTAAAAGAATATTTTATGGTAATTTAGTAATTAACTATAAGTATTAAAAAATATTTGTAAAAAAATATTAAAACGTTTTGATATTTAAAAACAACAATTATTATTTTGATTAAAATGACGTTTTAGTGAACTAAATTTGTAGTGGCACAAGCTAAATCAAAGTAAATCTGTACTGATGAATTTCACAAGCAAAAATTTACTCCTGAAAATTTATTACTGTAAACCAAACATAATTAAATTTGAATGATAATAGATTATCAATCCAAAACACACCAAATTACCTAAGAATGGCTTTATATGTCAAGCTCAGATGGAAAGAACTTGTCGAGAAGAAAAAAAATAGAATTGGAAAATAAATATAGAGAAATAACAACTGGCTCCTAGGTCGTATTATATTGAGATTAAATTTGCTGTCGTTGTTGCATCGATGCAGACAAAACTAACTCACTGTCGCTATTCTTCCTTTTGCAGTGTTGTCCTAAATATTAATGGATTTGCAGCTGTAAAAAGTTCCTATACATTGCTAATTTTTGTATTCTGGATTATTTTAATAACTCGGGAGGCACAACTAATTACAATTTTCCGTTTATGTAACCACTTTTGCAATAAAATAAGAATACATACATACATGCATAATATTGTTATATGTATAACTCATGTTTTTGTTTTAAAATATTAGATAATCCGTTTTATACAATCCCAATCAAAAAACAACAATAAAAAAAAAAACGCGAATGTTGAAAAGTAAAAATGATCTCATAAAAATAATAAAAATTTATATAAAATTTTTTTTAAAGCTTATTGAATTTTTGTTTGTTCTTTTTTTAATTTTAAAAAGGATACATATATTTCATCTCTTTGGTATCGAACTTTTAAATTTCGATTAATTCCATTTTCATCTATATTTGGTATAGCTGTCATATCTGGAACACCTTTATCCGCTGAGGAACTTAATCGTCCTGTAAATAAAAGAAAATAAAATGTGATTATTATTTTTTACTCTTACATATTTAAATTTTAATTTAAATTCAATTAAATTAAATTCTTATTGGATAAAAGGTAGCTAAACATGAGATAAAGTTTTGACATTTTGAACATTTACGATTCAAAAACCCAGAGATTAAAAAAAATATTTCATAATGTTATTTGACACGATGTGGTTAGATTAATTTTATAACTGCGTTAGTATATGTAGTTCAGTGTAGTTCTTGTCTTAATTTTTAATACTACATGTTTCATTCGTTAAATTTTATCGTAAGAAGGCTGATGCACGACTCCAAGTGATTGAATTATTTATAATTAAATAAATTATTGAACGTTCGAAAATTTATCATTTTAGATGTGTAAATTGGCAGCTACTCTACTTAGTTTTCAGAAAAATCAAATATTATTCTTCCCAAAGAAAATTTTGCTGTATATAGTGGAATATTTTTATATCTACAATTTTAAAAAATTGTTATAATTAATAGTATTACATAGTGCGCAAATGATAAACAAAAGTGCGTCTCCTGATAAACAAAATATGACAGAATATATTCCATTTGAAAAAATCTTCCTTGGCTGCGACAGGCTAAGTAGTTTCTGAGGGATTATAACCAGAAGCGACTTAAGGAGCTTGAAGGGATGGGCAAGAATTAGGTGAGAATTCTCACTGGGGTTTTGTCTGGACTTGGAAAGCGAAGATACTTGCAATTTTAGGAGAAGAAGAGGAGACTTCAGTTCACCTTCTGAAATAACATTTTGTTCTCTCTTGTAGGAGAAAGAACTTTACCCTCACGGCGGCGAAATTGCGGTTTTTTGCTCCTCACAAGTTGCTTAAACAATATCCCATTTGTTATTTCAGAATTTCCTATTTATAAGTAAATATATAATTCGCAAATCCATTTGCCGTTAATTATAGCCCTTCCGATACTTAAACACTATATCAATATATATATATATATAAGTGTTTCACAAATTATTACAACAATGCTATAGCAACAAATAAAATAGAATGGTCATAGCTCTTAACTTGTTTGTCATATAACGTAGGAAAAAAATTTTCACAAATAATTCTTTCCATAATTTTTACATTAATTTCTTTTTTATGGCGTTTTTATCCATTCTTCTTTTTGAATACAATATGCCGATAGAAAAGAGAATTTTAAATTTTAATTTTTTAAGGATCGTAAATTAATGAGGCCATGATGCGGAGCAGTTTTTTTCTCATTTATATTTTATACTTTTTACATTTTTTCCTTTAAATGCAAATTATTAAGAAGCTGTGAAAAGGCTTTCAAGCACTGAATTCTATTTCAATACAGGATTATGCAAATCTTGTATAGAAAACCATTTTTTATTATTATTAATTCTTTTCATGTTTACATTTACAATGAAAAAAAATTTTTTTTAAAAGAATACCAAAACGGATGTACTCTAATTTCCACGATAGAGAGTGTCCTTAATTGGGTTTTTTAGTTTTTCTTTTGATTGTTGTTTTTTTTTATTTAAAGATTTTGAAATTTGTTTTTGTTAGACAATGCTATTAAAATATTATGAAAGTTAAAAGGAATAAACATGACATAATTGAAGCAAAAATTTTCTTTATTTTTGTAAAATTGAAAATTGTTGAGAAATAGTAAAAAATCTGGGAGATGGAACTGGGAAGAAATGTCACTCAAAAACATTAATAATAATATACAAAACTTATAAACTCGGAAAATAAATTACGTTTATAAATTTAAGACTCACTTATATATATCACTCACTTATATCCCACTCATCAGAATTAAAGTTTAAAAACAAAACAAAAGCAATTTTCCGCTTGGAAATGTCAAAGTTCATACACGAGTACGCACGTTATATATAAATGGAAAAATAAAAGGGAATTTAACCGACAGCGGTAAAATAGCCTAAAATTCTAGCTGACGGTTTTTCTTTACTTCAGATGTTTCGATGTTATGTGTACATTATAAAATACTGAACAGTTGATTTTCCTGTTCCACTGTTATTTTGAGTAAGCAATGGAGATCGTTCGCCGTTGCCGTTCATTGCTTTGGTTCTGTTTTCACAATTAAAAGCCCACAGTTGTTGAGAGACACATTTTTGGATTAAGGTTATTAAGAGTAAGGGTAACAGTAATGAGTTACATAATACAAATTTGAATATCACATTTACTTAGTTACAGCACACAGTTTTTTGCCAATCTTTCGGCTAATTCTTTTTCTATTGTTCACAAATGTTTACAAAATGGATAAAATATTATCCGAACTAATTAAATCTACTATTAATGTTTTAAAAAATAATTCCTGTTCTCTTTTGATTAATTTGTCTCATTACTAACGGAGATTTAAATTCTACGTTCCTCTTTGAAAAACTACAAAACTTATTAAAAAAATTCCAATAGAACATTTTCCCCAATAAACAAATGACATAAAATACTTTATGATTTCAATACCAAAATTTTCATTTATTAAATTTTTATTATATAAGCAAAATTATTATTGTAACACAACTTTTATATAAGTTTGGCGTCATTTATAAAACAAAAAAACAATCATAAAAGTTTCCTCAGTGACATAAAACTGAAGTATCTTTTAAAAGACTTATGAGGACGTACACAGATAAAAACATTGTCTACTAATTAATAATATGTTTTCGTTCACATATATTATTTTATATACAGTTATATTTACAAAATTTTCCTCTCATACACTTTAATAAATATTATATGTATACATACACATATTGCATGTATAGTAAAGATTAAAAATGTTTTCTAGAAAAAACAAGAAAACCATAATTTTATTTTACAATAGTTTTCATAACAAAAGCTTTCTGATTATTTTTCAGCTGAGAAAGCAAAAAATAAAAAATTGCAAAAATAGTTTCACTTCCAGGTTAACAAGTAAACTGTATATTTTATGTCAATTCTCTAAGGATAATGACACTAGATTTCGTTTAAAGTTTATATTTTCAACTAAATTAGTAAATAATATTAATATTTTTTTTAAATTTTTTTATGTCAGTCTATCTGTTTAGCGTACAAAATAAGTGAAATATGTAGCAAACAAATGTTCAATAACAAACTCGCTCATACAAATCGTTTGTAGTTTGATTTGCAAAATTTTGAGATAAAATAGAGAAGTTTCAGGGAGTCAAATATTTCGAGAGTTTCACTCGAATTTCACTTCACTTGGAATTTTAATTCGTTCAAACCGGTTTTTAACACACTTTCATACAATTTGTTTGATCCATTGAAATTATTCAACTGTTGAAGTTTTAAGATCTAATAACTTGTGTATAGTGCTGCTAAAATGTCAAAAGTGAAAATATACTTATTTATTTTGAAAGAGCATTGATTTCAATTCCAACTTGCTTTTTTGTTTTTCTCCTATTGACTTCAATAATTGAGAGGAAATTCGTTTCTTTTTTCCTTCTCATATATTTTTATCAAAGATTTCAGATTTTTTCATTAATGCCAGATTTCCTTCCTTGTATGTGTGGGTATTGTGAAGGATTTCAATATAGAAAATAGATTGCTTTTTTTTGCCACTTCAATGAGTACAAACACTTTTCAGAGAAAGAAAACTTTTTAACAATTTCTTTTGTTTTTTATTACACGAAAAAAAAATCTTTTAATTATAGAGAAAATAATTTTAGTTGGAAAACTTTTCTTGTCGAAATTCTAAATTCAATACATAAATACATACACACATATATACAAATATATGTATTAGTTTAGAAGAATATTTGTTTTATTAATTTAGTTTTATTAAGTTTAAGAATTGGCATTAGCATTATTCTAAAATAATCTAATAATAAAAATATATTCTGAAAACTTTTGAAATAGTGTTAACCTAAGTTTTGATGAACAAGAAAATTTGTAGAATGAACCTAATGGCAGTTGGTCAACTTATAAACTTGAACTCCTGTTTCATAATACTATAATATTATTGAGGTATAAAATTTTAGTGCTGTCGGTTCCCGTTTACCTCATGTTTGTGCGAGTGCAAATATTTTATTTTGTAAGTTTTATTTTCTATATGGGTTTTCTAATTTAATATAGAATTTATTAAAAATTATTATGAAAATATTTTATCTTTTTGTTTTGTTTCGAAATACATTTTTTCATACATATTTATTAAGCTATATAAAATTATTTTAATTAAATATGTTAATTGATTTTGTTATACAACAAATTTTGAATTGGCTTCTTCCATATTTTTTGAAAATTTCCCAAAAAATATTAAATGAATTTTTGGTTGTAAATTGAATTTTCCATTGAAGTTTGAATTATGATTAAGAAATGATTTTAAAAATTTTTTTAATATTTTTAAATTTTCGAAAAATATAAAGCTTTGTTTTGGATCTGCTTTGGATCAAAAATGGCGAATCTTGTATTTATTATAGTAATGATTTCCTTGAATATAATGTTGTTTTACGATCTTTCTGCGTCCGCACAAAGCCAATCTTACTGCTCAGATTTCGCCTTCAGCGAAAATTAGTTCACATTTCTAAACTAACTGCTTAGGCCGCGTAATATTGATATTACATTTGTGGTAGTACAATTTTTTATTAAATTTATTGATTTTTCTTACACATATAACTCCCAAATGTATGCAAATAGGTTTTGTCACAAAAAAAATTATTGAGTTAAAATTTCTATTTTAGCATTGGCGTCCTTAAATGTCAGAAATTTTTAAAATACGAAATGTATTACTTTGCAGAGCATTGACTGTTTAAGTGTATATTTCTTATATGGTTAGGGGCAAGTCAGCACATATGCTTTTGTAGATAAAACTATTTTAAAATTTTAATTTCACAATTGAATTAAGCTATAAATGTACTTAGATATGTATGTATATACAAGAATATGCAAATTGATAAAGAAAAGTATCAAAAGATTTATGTTGATTTTTAATGAAAATTTCTCAGAATATTTTTTTAAAATTTATTTAAGGTAAATTGTAGAATGTGA